CCCCAAAACCCCAAAACCCCAAAACCCCAAAACCCCAAAACCCCAAAACCCCAAAACCCCACCCAAAATCCTCTTATTGAATCAGCCAAAATCCCAAAAATTTTGTTCCATACAATTTTTATTTTTAATATAAAATGGAGCCCTCAAGTGGAATAAAAACACCTGATAGGAGAGGCAGCCAGGCTAGCCCTGGCCTGCACCAGGAAGGCCAGGGTGGCCACACCTTGGCTGAAGAAGCCAAGGTGGATTTATAGGGGATCTGGCTGGTGGTAAGTGGATGGGAAGGTGCCTTGGAGTGGAGGGAAGATGGATTTTGGGGGGTTTTGAGTGGGATTTGGGGGTTGGGAGGTGGGTTTGGGGGGTTAGGGGGGTTAGGAGGATGAGATGGGGTGGAGAGGGATAAAGGGGTGTCATTTGGGGAGATGTGAGGGTAAGGAGGTTTTGACTAGTTTTAAGAAGGGAAATTGTCAAATTGTGATTTTAATGTACCTAGATGATGCTATATTTATTAAAAAATATATGTGATTAGGATAAAGGCGTATAGCTAATATCAAACTGTACTTAGATTAAAGAATTTATTTTGCTTACAAATAAAACTTCCTTGATTTTGAGAGAACTAGCATCTCAGAACAAGCTATTTATTATTTTGTATAAAAATCTTATCTGAGCTATCAAATATCCTTCAAATATTAGTGAAGATTATACCAACGAGAGAAATCATTATCTTTGTAACTTACAAACCCATCTTTGCCTTCAAACTCATTAGATTTAATTTAGAAACTAATTTATTCACGCCAAGAATCACCATAGAGGATAGATTGACCCCTGAAATATGATCCCAGAACCTTCACACTCTTGCCTCAACGGAAGAAAAGGGTCAGGAAAACGAAGAAGGACTTGAGAATGGTAAGACGAGCTGATCTCTACACTTACTAAGCCAATTGGAGACCTTAAGACTTCCTGTAACAAGTATAAACTACATTTATTTCATCAAATTAAATGTCAACCCAATTGTTTACACCATGATAATTACTTTAAATTTAGGCAGATCAACCAGAGATACTTTCCCTAACATCACAGTGGTTCAGAACAAGCTCAGGAACAGTAGTATCCATGAACCAAAGTCAAAGACCCAAGAAAGATTCACTTGAATAGTAACGCTCTTCCTCAATTTTAGGAAAAGCTTTCTGAAGGATCTGGAGAAAACTGGAGGAAATATAGTTCACCACACAAAGCTAACAAGCGATACCAAATGACCTTAGATGAGATCTATGAGGACTCACAAATGAGTGTATCAGTTCCTTCTTCATTAAGGGATGATGACTCCTTCTCTGGCTATGGCTCTGAAGTTGTCGAGATTCATCCTGAAAATCACTCAGACGCAAGCATCACTGAAGAAGAGTTTAGAGTAGGGGTCCTAGAGACAATTGATGAAGTTGAAGGGCTCTCAGAACCATCTCCATTTGTATTTTTCTTTGTATAACATTCTAGCAAACTCCTAATGAAAGAGCCTCGTTAGAATCTGAAGAAATGAGTCCTGTCATCCAAGAAGACATGAAATAAACTTCTCACAAATTACATTCAAGAGCGAAGCCAAGATCGGTTATTTAGCTTCAAGAATAGTGACGAGCCTTTTGAACAGGCTTCTCCAGTGAAGATCCAAGATGAGAGCTGCCCAAAAAGGTCAGGAAGCATCATGAGGGTAATGTTCGCAAATGAAGTCTATTACAAGTAAGTCTCCCCGGTTTATTCATAGGTCTTTTACTGAAGAAGACTATGAACTCCCTGAGCAAAGAGAAAGTAAGCATATGCTATAATCACTAGGCTCTCCTGAAAGATTCGAAAAGTTCGAATTTGAAGACGGGAAGCAGAATCAAAATCCAAACTCCTCTAGCCCTCAAGTGCTTGATTACTACAAGTCTTCCAATAGAAAGAGAAACGTGATTATCCAGATTGAAGTAGATGAGGATAGGAAATATGAGAAGCCAGAAGTGAGTCCTCTTGGACTTCTAGGCATGGACGGCCTAAACCCCTCCAAATATACCTCTTCCAAAAAGTCTGAAACAGAGTTTATTTGTAGTAAGAACTTTAACTACACGAATTCTGAGCCTGTAACTCCTGAGCACATGCCTTACTCTCTCAAGACAAGGAAGGAGGAACCTCAGTCTGACAAACTTCGCTTGAAGAAGGAATCTTCAGCCACTGTTCGGGAGACCACATCTTTACAAACAATTGAGTCTTCAGTTGATCCAGGTTCTTTCAAGCTAGTAGATTACTGTGTTGATCAATGATATCCCAAGAATCAAGGTAAGTTCAGGAAGCTAAAATGGGAATTTTTGTGGCTTTTGGCAAAATTGGATGTTTAGACCACCAGTCAAATCCTACAAGAAAAAGTAGCAGTAAAATAAGTGAACCAAGAATGATAAAGTATCCAGGAGAACCAATAGTGGTAAATTTACTCTCATTTCCCTATCTCCAACCTTCTCTAGGACTCTTCACGTATAAAAGGAAGTGACTACTCCACCAAACTTGAAGAGGTTAAGCAATGCCCTGCTACATCTCCTTCGTAAGACTCTTTCTCACACCTAGATTTCCCTCCTGCTGTCCTATTCCACAACCCAGACCTACACTAGGCGACTCAATTCTATCTCTGCTTGTTCCGGCCCCTACAATCAAGAAGGCTCTTCAGGTGACTGCCAAAGTGCTTGATCCAAGTACATCTTCCTTCTATAATCTCTAGGCTTAAGTCAAAATTCTGAAAACAGCTGAGATGATTGCTATCCAAGCATGCATGAAGGCACTAAACCTCTTGGAGTACCTACCCATCCAGCTGGTAAATTGCGTTAACATATATCTACATTAACCCCTTTTACGATAATTTAAACTCTTCTGTGTCGAAGATCATTTAAAATGAACTTATTTTTACATATACATTTAGGAAGTAGCGAAGATTACGAGTACATGGATAAACCCTACAGTCGACCAAGCGACTTCAGGTATAGAGGTTACAGAGGATAACTTTGTTCAGGAAAAAATCAATTTTTACACAAGGAAATCACTTCTTGCGTAATTCAGTTTTTGGCCAGTCTTAAGGGGTTTTGGGGTTTTGGGGTTTTGGGGTTTTGGGGTTTTGGGGTTTTGGGGTTTTGGGG